ATTCTAAATAGAAGAACAAAGTTTATAAATATACTTTTCCTACTATAGTTACTCTATACTAGACAAGCCTGATTCTATTCCTCCCTATACTCCTAATCTATTTGTCATCCTCTCCCTAGAAGATAGATGTAGGAGAGATATCTTTAGTTTTCCAAGCATAACTGTACTCTCAATTTACTTACCATGGATTATTCTTAGTTTAAAGCCCCAGCACCACGTCAAGGTGATAATCCCAGCTGGGGTACCTAAATACACCCACATTAGCAGGCCAACAGAGTTGGCATCCTATTAGAATAAAAGCAGAGGAGAGGAGAAAAACACAGTAGAACATAACAAAGTATAACAGAGTATAAAAAACATAGCAGAGTACAACAAAATACAGCAATGCATAACAAAACATGCAAAAGCAGAAATAGTGAGAAGTAACTACTTCTCAAAACAAGGAAGACAACACAACTTGGTCATGTGAACATGACTAGAAACAGAGTGAAAAACAGCTGGAGGAGAAGGGGAAAGAGGAAAAGAAGCAGGATATGAAGCTGGGAGAATATCCACAGCTTGCAGCTTCACAGGAGGAGGAGGGAGAGGGGTATCAGGGCGATACAAATTCTCTAACACAATAGAAAGAGGAATTGTATGCAATTCAGAAGGGGGGCAGGCAGGGGCAGGAATAGAAACAGGTGCAGGGGGGACAATAATCCTACCCTCATACTCTGCGATAAAGTCTTCAAGAAAATAATTGAAAACATAATCAAACACAGTATGAGAAAGGCCAGAAATGGAGCTCATAAGGAGTTCCTCTGGGACAAAAATAGAGGAAACAATAAGGGGAAATGCAGTAAGTGAAACAAGGGCAAAAGGAATAACACTTGCATAAGAAAAGAAAAACTGGCAGAAAGAATGATAAACAAAGGCAAGGAAAAAAGCCTTAATGGCAGAGGAGAAAGAGAAAGAAGACATTGGAAATGACTCCTTGGGTATATTGGGAAGAAGGGGTTTTGGTATCAAAGTCTTTTCTCACTGAGGAGATAAAACTAAATGTCAAGAAAGAGTAAAGATGTGCAGATGAATGTAGTAGATAGAGATAAACAGAAATTTATGTGTGCAGATGAGAACAGAAATTTCTGGGGAGGGAGGAAAGAAGAGTGGGAGACTGGGGGCCTTTATATAGTGGATTTTTTGGCCGACACTGAAGCTGTGTGTGTGACTACTGCCAATTTTCTAGGCTTAGGTTTAGGCATAGGCATAGTTAATACCAGAGGTAGCCCTGACCGGTGGTAGATTTGGGGTACTTAGCCCTGGTCCGCTTACATTTAGGGTATCAAATAGGCACCAATTTAAGTCGTCTGCAAAGGATTTACCAAACTGTGTATCATACGACTAGAGCTAGGTTGGTGGACGACGGGCTCTACGATAAATCCAATCAATGTCTCTGGAAGTGAGCTCACACAATTATAGAAAACCCGCTGGACTGGTGAATAGTAGCCTGGACTTGTGGAACTGGCTGTTTCCCAGGGTTTATAGGGGTGAGTGCGGAGGGGGTGAGGGGTGAGCGATCTCCCACGATAAATCGATTCCTTGGGGACCTCAGGAATATTAGAAATTCTCCATAGTATCCCCTCAATATAAAAACTTTTTTTGCTATATATTTGAGCACGCCCCTTTTTCAGACTTGATAGTGAGAGGCTTAGGGGAATTGCCCGGCAGAGAGTAGTCTGAACGGCTCTCGAAGTGAGCCGGATAATTGATAAAGGTAAAAAAAAATAGATGGTCGCAGGACTAATGATCAGTCAGCTGTCGAAAACCGTCAGTGCCCGCAAAACATCCGACCTTCTCGATGTAAATGAACAGTACACTTTCAGGATGTAACCACCCATCAACAACGACACCAGACAAAAATAAATTGGGGGATCCGGGTAGTAAAGCCACTTTTAGATCAACTTCGGGTAGGGGAGAATGGTAAAGTAGGGTTGTGTCCTTATAGCACAATTTACACAAGTGAAGAAGATTAGTTGAATAGTAGTGGATTCAGTGGAGCGAGTGCATAGAATTTCATGGGAGTTTGGAGGGAGTTTGGGGCCGTATAGGATAACCGAACGTGGGGGCACCTAAGGGAAAAAAAATTGGTCCATAAAACTAGTAACTCTATTTCTTAGAGCTTTAGATAGGACATGCTGAATCCTACTATGATATACGTCTTTTCCCATGCAAGGACCCAATTCCCCTTGTTTTTTTTTAAATTTTTTTTTGCTTCATACCCTATCACTCTCTCAGCTACCTTCGCTTTTGCCTTTCGGCTAGAATGCCCCAACCACTAATCGATATACAGGACATATTGAGCCCCCTGTGTCAGTAACAAAGAGACCTGCTGATCCAATAGGGTATCCCATCGATCGAGTAGATTGCTTGATGACTGGAATTTAACAGATATATATCTCCTAAGTAAAGAAGGCACACAACGCATCCCCCCAATGCAACATAGAAGCCATAAGGGGGCAGACAGAACCCTCCCACTCCGTGTAAAACTATAGTGGTACTCTATAAATTAGGTTTCTTTATATACCCTACTATTTTTAATAAGAGAGAATTGTCTCAGGACATCTGAATTTCCTATTTTGAGGAGGGGGGGGGGGTGCTGCCGGGAAAAAAAAAACACCTTACCATACTCAGAAGGGAAATATAGACATCCTAAGACGGCTCTCTCTTGGCCTAGATAATACGGTATATAATATTTCGTTTATAGTAGTAAATAGGGATATTTACTTTTTAAAATTCTACATTGGAATATTTGTCTATGTGGGCGGAGGAAATTTTCTTTTCTTTTGTTTTAGTTCTTTGCGAAAGCTGAACATGTACTTTGAGTCATCCAAAATCCCTCCTCAATTTCATATGTTTATTGGCACAGTGGATTGAAAGAATTTTTTTTTCACTTCCGCATGTCCCTATTGCGTACTTCACTGTACTTACAGCTCCCACTGATCATATTGCAGGCATTAGAAATCTCCTATGGCTTCTGAGATGCTCACAGCCCCTATAGACCCGTGCTCTCTACAACCTTTAGCAGTACTGAGAGTGGAATCCCTTAATCAAGTAATAGATTGTGTGTGGGGGGGTGAGAGATTGTAAGGAAAACCCCAACAATTTTTGTTTAAGTGCCGTGTATTACTTTTCCACTATTGTAACAGATTTCAATTGATGATTTTCAAATGAAAATAGGATGGATGATACAGTGTACAGTCTACTTTACCTTACACATGTTGACTATCATCCCTCACCATCACAGCCTCCAGGAGTGTTGGCAACGATGGTTGAGGTCCTCTTAAGATTGATATTCGTGAGATGGGGCTTGGTGGATTACTCGAATTATCTACCGGCTAAGACTGATCTGCCTGGCTTCCGGATCCTCTCAGCCGAGCATCTCAGCAACTAGAGTTTGTCTCTAGTGAAGACACAATGCTCTTACTCCGCGTCAGTGTTCCCAACAGTCTGGGGAGCCGGCGGGGTCTCATGGGGGGCTTCCAAGAGCCCTGGGCGGGATGGGGCTGCCATGTGTAGTCCATCCCGGGCGGTGAAAGTGGAGGACGGAGGACCCTACGGGGTGAAACAGTGTTAGTAAGGGAGACGGTGGGGGACCTCCGGGGATGGCGGGGGATTACCAGGGGCAGCGCGGCCCTGCGGGGCACTGCGGGGACTGCCCGGAATAACATATTATACCACAAAGAAACCTCAGGAATGGTTGAAACCCTGTGGTTGACAAGGTCATTTTGTTCATAGGATTTCAGGCACGAGGACGGTAGTCGCGCAGTCAGTCTTAGCACTGCGGAAAAGACGGATCGCCGGCTCTAGTCCGTCTCCTCCTACACCAAAGACGGACGGACTGGACTGTTGGGAACACTGCTCCGGGTTCAGTAGTGGGCGGAAATTTTCGATAGGTGTTTAGACAAAAAAGTTGTGAATTTCTCCCACTGCTCTAGAATCTAGATGACAAAGCCAAGAAGTTCCCACTAATCGCTACCGGCACTTATATCCCATCACACATTATTACCTGGCACTAAGCACCTCCGTTGCCACTCGTGTCACCCCGATTAGATTATTGGTTCAAAGCCCAAGCAACACATTAGGGTAATATTCTTGGCTGGCGTATCATACCTAAATAACACTCATGTTAGTAGGCCAACAAGTTGGCAACCCGTTGGGGCGGGGGTCAGATTAGGGGGGGGGGACATAGTGCGTTGAGCTCTATATTACAAGGCGGTCCTCAAAACAGCCGGGACAGTTGGAACGAAAAAAAAAAACTTTAAGGTGGGTAAGGACAAAAGCCCGAAAGATAAAAGCCACTAATATTGAAAAGAACAATATACCTTCTGGGACTAGGGAAAGATAAGGTAGAATTTAAGAAAACAAAAAACAATTGTATAATTAGAAGGTTCCCTCTCTGATAGTCATGAGACTGTGTGGTACACATAGGTGAATACTTGTAATCATAATAATATAATGGTTATTCAGTCCACGCCAGGGTTTTTACTGGGCTACTGTTATATGGGCTACAGGGTTTGTATTAGGGAGGGTTTGTAAGTAGGGTCACGGACTCAGGGTTGATGACGGGCTTTGCATGATTAGCCCGGGATATACTACTATTGTTTCGGGCATCTACATTGGCGGAAGGCCAAATTGTCTGCAATGGATTTGGCACGCTGTGAGCTACTAAAACTAAGGCTTGCATGAGACCCCTGCAGAATTCAAGACTATAGCACCTCTGAGGATCAAATTTACTGGATAGTTGAATTTATGGCTACGTATCGGGAATCGCGGTATCATAATATCGAGCTTGCTCCGGCCGAATTACTGTGAGATGTCTTCAGATCACATAGGCTATAGGGTTCAGAAGGGTGACTGCAATGCTAAGGCCTCTTGTTCCTCGCTTTCTACCTTCCCTTTCAGGTACTCTGCGAAAACCAGCAACCAGACATTTGACATCAAACACTAGGACTCATTAAACAATGTGGCGCTGGAGGACTGATGACATCCCTCATCCTATGACTGGTTTGACACCAGAGGATCAGGCGTATCTCTCTGGCAATCGTCTACGTACTTTATTTTTTATCCGCCCTTTTTTTGCGCGTTCTCAATCATTGCCGTGCTAATTACCAATGAGCAGAAAGATGCAATGCCGGACCCAGCGACGCCAATCCGTCTGCTCTCCCTAACGCAACCGATCTCACCCCCGGTACCCCTTCTGCCCCAGCTTCTCAGAAACCCATCACTCCCCGAAACGGTAGGGGCAGAGGTAGACCGACAAAGATCCTAGCGGGTATCAAAAAACCCACCAGGGCATCTACTCGCAAGAAAGCGCTGGCGCAGAAACTTGATCTACCCACAAATCCACGCCAGTACCAGAAGGGCACCAAATCCCCAGAAACTAGCACCCCAAGTCTCAAAGAGAAAGGTGAAACCACCCTGCACCAGCCAAAATGAGAACCACACCACTGAATCACACAAGTTCCCGGTCTTATGATGCCTCCTAGGCACCACATTGCCGAACCCTCCGTCGGAAATCCCTTCTGTCTGGAGATTTGCGATGTAAAATTTGGCGGTTTGGGATGTCCGTTCTGTAATCGGAACTTCGCAAAGTATCACACCTTCCCCACTCCTCTCCTTGACATTGTTCCTGACTGCTTGTAATTAGTGTTTTTGTTTGGGCAGAGTATATTGGTAAGGTGGACAAGGACATCCGATCTCAAGACATGCGAAACTGAGGAGTGGGCGACATATGTTACCAACGGAGGGCCGAGAGATATCTAAGGGCCGGATAGAAACTGAAGTTTGTCATGGTGTCCCTCATGCCCGTTAAATCCTGTTGGAGTCAACCGGATAGTCCTTTCGTCCTATTCTTGCCTTTTTTCTTCTTCTTTTTCTTTTCCTTCTATTCTCCACAGTCCTAGTTATGCCAGTGTTGGGAGTAGCTTCCAAAGCGACATAGAGAATGTCCGGGGCGCAAGCTCAGGTGTGGATATTTTAATTAGCATAACGCGGTGCATATCACTGTCACTTCGACGGTGTTCCCTGTGGGCTCGATTTTGATGACATGGCTATGAGCCACCTCACTGAATGCTGGGCACGGCAGTATCTGGCTGCCTTACTACGGGTTAGTGTTTGGCATAAGGGTCCTCGCTGCGAGTTAGGCTTTGGCCTCAAGAACCCCGCCTCATTGGGGGGTTAAACTCGTACTCCTTGCGGATTGCGAGTTTGTCTTCGAGGATAGCCGATTTGGACTAGATAGTTTTTGGATCACCGAAGCCGCCCCTCATTTTCTAGCTAAACACTTACAAAGTCGACGTTATGCACAGACAGAGACTATCTGTTGTGACGTTTGAAACAGCTGCTGGAGAAATTAACACCAGGGCAGTGGGTTTGCTTGCATTAACTAGATTTCTTCATATAGAGTTGGATGATTGATTTAGAATGGAGAAGCTAGGTTATCAAGATCTCAGAATATCTGGGAGTAGTGTGGAAGGTAGGAAGAGAGCGAAAAGACAAAGGATTACGCTTGTCATCGTTAGCATCTGTCAATGCTTTTTCAATCATCGATTCTGCTGTTTCCGTTTGCAGTCTCTATCGATAACAGGGCTTCATCACTGTTGGAAGATAGACATTTTTTTCTTTTCTTTTCATATTCCCTGAGATACCGATAATTAAAACAATAGTCTCCTCATTATTGGGGTCAACACCTTGCCCTGCAGTCCGCGAGCAAATCAGCGAAGATGCCCGGGCGCGTGACCTCTCACGCGCTGAGCGTAGCTATGATACTGTAATATGCCATGTGACGCTGGTAAATCACGGTGTTGATTAATAGCTCCATGCGGACACGCTTCCTGATCGCGAGGTACAAGTATGATTGTCCATGATAAACTTACCGGTCTCCGAGCAGACCCGCAGGGGGTTGTCGTCTGCCGCATCTCGTCAAGAGCGACAAAAACCCGCGCCACCACGCACTTGCCCTTCCTTAAGCATGGACCAAGTGGGTTGGTTAGGGGTTGTGTCACTCGATTGTCATCAATCATCACCCACCCGCGAGGCAAGGTTTACAGTACTCGAGTACCGTTAATAGTATCATATGAGTAGTTCTCGCACGCATAATACCTTTACAGTACAGTACAGTAACTTACCGGTAATGGAAGGACCATCTCTTTATATGAATATCGCTCCCCGTACCCATCGGTTATCGCTTTGCCTAAACATCACAGTTAACTCAAGCTTCGGTGTCTGGTGCTATCTGTTTTCCACAGCAAGAGCACAGCCTCGTTTCCCCCGACTTGAAGGTTGAAGCGGGCAATGTCCGGTGCTGTCGAATCACGGGACGATCGATGCTTGAGCCTCAACGCCAAGACACAGGTGATTCGGTGATGCTTCCACAGCAACAGGCGGAGGTGTTCGTTTTCCGACCCATCTTTCTGATAGGAGAACAATCAAACAACAATCCCAAAAATCACCTCTGATTCCTCCAACCCGTGACGCAAATAGAGCTGAGCTGCACCATCCCCTGAATTCCCTTTTCACCTGTTGTTTTCTCTCCATCCCTTCCACCGCCCAATATACTCGAGTACCTACCTACATAATCATCGGTCCAGCACCTGCCGCATCACAGCTATCGTACTCATTCCACTCTACCACACAGAATCAGGGTTTGTCGCTCTCCCCAAACTTTTCTGGACAAAAGCTTTATATTCCTCCCCGGCTACGGCCAGACGCGAACGAGTGTGTGGAATACCGGTACAGCAAACGATACGCCAAGCCTGCGGCTGAACGAGCCAACGAATACTATGCAACCAGGGCACATCTACAAAGTACCACCTCCCTGGACTGGACCGGTAGTGCGTCCCCAGGAACAGCAGCAGCAGGGGAATATGTACGGCCAGCAGTTTAGCAGCGGACAGACGGGGGGGATTCAGCCTGGGACCGCCACAGGAGTCCCGCCAAACTCGAGTTATAATGGTACGTGATATCTAGTGCGAACGGGGGGATAAGATCCGAGATGAAAGAGAGATGGGATGAGATCCCATTGGAAGGGTGGGTTGTGACGTTTTCCGGGGGACTTTGTCTGATTATTCGCTCGTAGCTGGATTCCCCCCTCAGCAACAACAGCAATATCCGCCCCAACAGTTTCAGCAGCAACAGTTCCCTCAGCAGTATGGCCAGCAGACGCAGTCTCAGTACCAGCAGCCCCCTCCCCCACCTCCACCTCCCCCACCGCCGGCGTCGGCGCCTGGACAGCAACAATGGGCCCACCCGCAATGGAACCAACCCACCTCTCCGCCCGCCCCGGGCCGTCCTCAATCAGTCTATAACCCCCAAGCCCCGACATACCAAGGCAATACCGGAACTGGGTATGCTCCTGCTCCCCAGCATACCGGCGTTCAACAAACCCCTGGGACACCTATCCAACAACAACAACAGCAAGCTCCTCCACCTCCTCCACCTCCTCCACCGCCTCCCCCGCCCCCACCGACCACCCAATCATATAGCCAGCAAACACCTGGATCACCAGCTACCCCCGCGAGCCCATATCAGCAGGGCCAGCCATATGGTGGACAGTACCAGGGGCAGCAATGGCAAGCAGCCAGCCCCCAGCAGCAGTTTGTGCAACCTAGCCAACCGGCGGCGCCGCAGACTCAGCAGACGTATTACACCGGGGGTAATGTCGGCGGGATGGCGCCTGGAAGCGCAACCGGATATGGCGGCCAGCAGGGTGGTGTAACTGACACTGTGCAGAGCCTGTCTGAGAACCATGTTGCGTGAGTGCTTATTGTGCCTGAATTTATCGAATCGTTACTAATGGCCTAACAGATATATCCCCCCATCACTTTCTGGTGCCGGGGTCACTGCTTATCAACCCGTCAATACCAACCCTGCGCCGGGGGTCTATGTGCCGCCGCCTCCAGAAAACATCCCTGCATGGGGCACGGCTCAGCCCGACGGACCAAAGAAAAGGTTTAAGTATACCCCTCCGGTTCTACATCCCGAATTTGGTGGTGTTCCTGGGGGTGGCCAGTATCCGCCAAACCCTCAGCAGCAGCAGTATCAACAAGCTCCTCAACAGCAGTATCCCTCTAACCTCCAACAAGGCCAGCAACATCCGCCGCCACCACCTCCGCCACCCCCACCCCCAGTGACGTCCCAGCAGGACAGCTGGCAGCAACAGCAACAGCAACAGAAACAACCAGACCAGTACCAACAACCCGCGCAGCAATATACGCAACAGCCTCAACAGCAGTACGAACAACAGGCCCAGCAACAGTACGGGCAGCAGCCTCAGGGACCCGATCAACAAGCACAAGCTCCTCCCCACATTGAACCCCACCGTCCCGTCGCCCCGCCAAGTCGTCCCGGGAGTCAATACACTCAAAGGTTTGATCACTTGGAACAGCCTCTGTCAACGCCAACACCGCCGCCTCCGCAAGCTCCGGCTGCTTCTGCTTACCACAATCACTTTTCTCAACAACAACAGCAGCAACGGATATCAAGCCCCACACCACCCCCGGCTCCACAACGGAAGAATACTATCCCGCCCATAACCGGCGCATCGGCTTTCTCTTCTGGACCATCAGACTTTAGCGGATGGGAGCACTATAGCAGTGCGGCTGATGATGAGGTTTCGCTAGTTAGTCGTCCCGAGACCCCCGAGATCCCAGAGATAGAAGGAACACCAACGCATAAGCCGAGCGGACACTATAATGAGCAGCAAGGAGGAAACTCTGGCTTCGTCTCGCCACCCTCACCTCCTCACAAGGTGGCTATAGGCCCCCAGCAACCGCAGAGACCAGGTAGTGTGGTCGGAGGCGGACATGCCCCATCTGGACGAGTGATGACTCCCCAACAACAGCAACCGCAGTGGCAGCAACAGCAACCTCAAAGGATCATGACTCCACAGGAGCATCAGATGCATCACCCACCGCAGAGAATCATGACCCCTCAGCATCAACAGCAACAGGCACCTCAACCACAGCCGAACCAATATCAGCAACCGGACACTCACCAATGGCAACAGCAGCAACATCCAGCCCCACAGCAACATGAGCAGCAACAGCCGCAGAGGATCATGACCCCTCAACAGCAACAACAAGAACATCAGCCACCGCCCCTTCAATCCTCTTCCCAGGGCACATATGTCGAGCAGGTTCCGGGCGGATGGCCTCAGGATCCCCCTCAGCCACCACCTCAGCAACCTGTCCAACAGGCAGCCCAAGTATTTGCCCGACAGTTTCAATATCGGCACCGGCAACAGCCTCAGCCTCCTCAACCGCCCGCGCAGCCATCCTATGAACTTGCTCAAACACAGCAACCCGTTGCTCCGGCCCCACTTGAGGAAGAACCGGATCCGCTGGATGCCCTGGAACCGTTCTATGCTGACTCTATCCACCGTTTCGTTGATATGATACAGGCAGAAGTCGCGGCTGCCTCAGATGAGGACAAATTGAGAATATTTACGGAGTTCATGGAGAAGGAATACTTCATCCGTGGAGAACGGTACCCTAATGCTCTTGGAGATATCCCTAGCAGGCAAGGAAGCGTGTTTGGTGGTATGAAGAACCCCGATGGCCCAGTTGGTGCCCCAAGTGTTGAGAAAACTCCTGAAATCTCAAACAAGGAGGCCGCTTCAGATGTGACTGCACCTCCCTTGTCTGGTGGGCAACAGCACCACGCACCTCAGAAGCAGCCACACCCACCAAATATTCCTTCTCCAATTCATGAAGTTGCCTACCAAGCGCCTCAACATGAGGAACCCAAACCTCTAGAAAGAGTTGGAACTTATCAACCCTTCCGACCAGGTACGACCCCGCCGAAACATCAACAGCCAGTTGAGGATCCGCCCGTTGGGAATACTGGCTATAAGGCATTTAATCCCGCAGTCCGCAGCCTCCCCCAACAGCAACCCGCCTCCCCAGCGCCTCACCAGCATCAAGGCTATGTCCCATTTCGTCCCACCGAATCAGCATCACCTCCAGCAAAGAACCTAACTCCCGGCAACGGCGCCTATGCTCCTTATAAAGCACCAGCGACAAAGCCAGGCTCACGACCGGCTTCTGCAGGGTCTGACTTTGTTGCTTACGATGCAAAGAGGGCTTCAACAATTGATAACCGAGGACCTCAATCCCAGTCCAAGCGTAGTTCGGTCATATACAATCAGCCAAACAGATCACAAACCATGGCTCCACCCGTGGGCGGACGTCCTACGGAATTTGGTTCTCCTAGGCGTGCACCGACGGTGGATACGGCGCCGTACCAGGAATATGTCGCTCCGTCCGCAAACTACCGAAGTCCGACGAGAGCTCAGCCACCAAACTTCCCGCCAGAGTCAGAGGAAAGCTATTCAGAAGGTTCAGAGGAGAGCCTTACGCCCCCCCAGAATGTCGACCTTGATGAGTTAAAATTGGGGCCTCCACCCGTGCCCCCGATTCTAGGGCTATCAACTTCGGCGACGGCTAACGCACTTTCCACCCTGCTACCAGCCACCAGATCCCGCAAGACCTCGTCGACTGCTGTACTCGACGACATCAAGAAAACCATTGACGAAGTTGGCGAGAACTTCTCATTCATTGAGAAGATCAACACAGCCTATGCCGATGCTTCGAAGAAACGCCTGCAAAAACTCGAAGACGAGCGGAGAGTCCGGCAGGAAGAACATCAGGAATATACTGATCGCTTATTCGCCGATAATGAGATTGGTTACGGTGATATCGGCGATATGGACGACGCCTTGAATGCTGAGGAGGCAGAAAAGAGGTGTAAAGAAGAGGAGACCGAATGGGAGAAATACCGGGATGAAGTCTTCCAGAAGGTTTATGACAAAATACAGGAGGGGATCAAAGGGCTAATGGACAAACATTTCCAGACCATAAACAGCCTTCGAGACGCTGTTTCAGGGAAGGAGCGGTGGACAAAGATCGAAGGCCTAGAACTCACGGACCTATTGGAGGGACTCATATTGCTCCGGGGCTACATCGAGCGAAGGCATGAAAAGGTTCAGGTCGCAATTTTAGAACGTGACAGACGATACAGAAGGACAGTTATCCAACCACTCCACATTTCTGGAAACTTTTCCAAAATGAAGAGCATGGAAAAGCACTTTGACGAGAGTGAAAAGAAAACGTAACCGCTCCCATCCCTCAAGCCAACCGAGCCGCAAGCTAATAGCCACCAGCATCCTCGAAGCCGCAAAACAGAGACTCACCCGAACCTCCCAGCTTATGGAAACCATTGAGGAAAGCATCCAACGCGGCCTGACCGCCGAATTAAACTACACCGAGGAGCTCACGCAAGCTGTAACACCGCTCCTTACTAACCCATTGCGCACGGCGAGCTTCAAGGCAGACCTCATTTATACTCTTGAGCTTCTCTCAACCCTGAAAGAAAAAAGTATAAAGTTCATGAAAGCCTTCCACTCTGCAAGTCTTCTGATAAACGAGTCGACTGCGGAAGTTGGCACCGCCGAGGGCCGGGAGAAGGGTGAAGTTGCAAAGGAGCGGTTAGGCTCCGATGAAGAGGCGGAGAAGGAACTGCGTGAAAGGGTCAGCGTTGTAAATGGCGATTGGGCCGCTATAGAGAGTTGTATTCAAGCTGTTTTAGAAACGCTAAAGGATGTTTCTGAGGAAGGCGCTGTTGTGCCCGGCAGTGGCGGGGTTCATCTGAGCGGTGGATACGGAGGTGCAAGTGGCGGGGACCCCCCAAATCATAGCGCAGGGGGAGGAGAGATGAGTGCGCTTGAAAGGGCGAAAATGAGGAACAGAGGCGGTGGTAGTGGAATTGTGTACGACGGGTACTAACGTTGACACGTTTCGGTGGGATTTGATCTGGTTTGGGCCTAGACCGCAGCGCAGAGGATACCTAATTCATAACTATATATATATTTTGTTACTATTGTAGTATATTTGTAGCTCTTTGCAGTTGTGTTTTGCAGTGGTATCATGGCAAGGAACAAGTTCTGCATCCTCGGCAGATCTTCCGGTGCACGTCCAATAGCAGGAACTCGGCTACTAAAATAGTAAACTAGGCCATGTTCAACTAACGCCAGGATGCCATAAGGAGTAATTATTAACCTCAGTTACACGAGGGCCGGCCATAAAGCCCATTTCCTGTTTACTTATAATATATCATAACCACGGTTTTGACGGTTGAGAAACAAATCATCTGCAAATACCCTAAACCCCCGCCGAGCTGATGCTCGAGTGAATTGCAACCTAGCCAGGGCTATAGACACAACGTCTACCATCAACATCCCACGCATTAATTGTCCCTCAAACTTAAACCTAAACCCCCCACTCAGGGTAATTTTCCACATAAGCTCAGCGTCGGCGAAATCTACCAATATATAAAGACCCCCAGTCTCCCACTCTTCTTTCCTCTCTCCCCAGAAATTTCTGTTCTCATCTGCACACATAAATTTCTGTTTATCTCTATCTACTACATTCATCTGCACATCTTTACTCTTTCTTGACATATTTAGTTCTATTTCCTCAGTGAGAAAAGACTAATACCCAAGCCCCTTCTTCCCAATATACCCAAGAAGTCACTTCTAATGTCTTCTTTCTCTTTCTCCTCTGCCATTAAGGCTTTTTTCCTTGCTTTTGTTTATCATTCTTTCTGCGAGTTTTTCTTTTCCTATGCAAGTGTTATTCCTTTTGCCCTTATTTGGCTTACTGCATTTCCCCTTATTGTTTCTTCCATTTTTGTCCCAGAGGAACTCCTTATGAGTTCTATTTCTGGCCTCTCTCATACTGTGTTTGATTATGTTTTCAATTACTTTCTTGAAGACTTCATTGCAGAGTATGAGGGTAGGATTATTGTCCCCCCTGCACCTGTTTCTGTTCCTGCTCCTGCCTGCCCTCCTCCTGAATTGCATACAATTCCTCTTTCCATTGTGTTGGAGAATTTGTATCGCCCTGATACCCCTTCCCCTCCCCCTCTTGTGAAGCTACAAGCTGTGGATATTCTCCCAGCTTCATATCCTGCTTCTTTTCCCCTTTCCCCTTCTCCTCCAGCTGTTTCTCACTCTGTTTCTGGTCATGTTCACATGACCAAGTTGTGTTGTCTTCCTTGTTTTGAGAAGTAGTTACTTCTCACTGTTTTTATTTTTATGTTTTGTTATGCATTACTGTGTTTTGTTATACTCTGCTTTGTTTTTTTTGTACTCTGCTATGCTTTATTATGTTCTGCTGTGTTTCACCCCTCTCCCCTAATTTGGTTTGTATTCTAATAGGTTGCCAACTTTGTTGGCCTACTAATGTGGGTGTATTTAGGTACCCCAGCTGGGATTATCACCTTGACATGGTGCTGGGGCTTTAAACTAAGAATAATCCATCTAGGTAAACCTTGTATGAGGGGAGTGCTGACTGCCAGAAGTATTATTTCAATATGACAGATGGTATGAACATGTCCAGTTACACACCTTACTACCTGGCATACCAAAGTTTATGAAATGACAACTCCAAGTTATGTTTGTATGTATATAGACTCAACTCACCTACAAGATACAAACAGGACAATAGTCTCTGCATATACACTACTAGAATATGTAGTCAGTTATAATATCTTAACAATTTCTGATGAATTTGAATTATATATTATTTTCTGGAGTTGGGATTTCCACCAACCAATACACCATCCCATCTAAAGTCCATTACAGGGGCTTCGGGGCCCTGAAAGTAGCTGGCCCGAGGCCCTGTCCCTGCCCTTCCCTCGTAATTGGCCCGGGGTGGGGCATACCCCTTAGGCAATCCTGAGCCCGCCCCTATATGGGCCAGTGATCCCAAGCGGCCGGTCCGGACCACGGGTCGGCAGTCCGGTCAGTCCGGCCTTGGTTTTGAAAAGCCTGGGTCAGTCCGGTCGAAATTCTGAGCGGCCGCCAAAGCCCGGCGGCGCCCAGGCAACCGCCGGGTCGAGTATTGGCGCAACACAGGTCAAAGCCGGTAGGTGCCCAGGTAATCCGAAGATATCTATTGACGGGCTGCACGCTTTCCATTTTTAATCACTCAGAATAGGATAATAGGAGCAACATGTCCCTGGTGCTATAGATCTCGCTCAAGACAAATCTATGTCATCCACCGATGAGCCACCACGATACCCAAATATACTGTCCGACCTCGAAACACTCTATACCATTCTTCACACAACTCTCTAATCACCTTGGGAATATGTATTAACCCCGTGATTTTATAAAAAATTAATCCTGTTAATATAATATTTCTTAGTAATGAGACACAACTGATCGCTTGAAACATCGGGCTGCAGGTGACCCAGGCTGGGCCTGGCTTTGGTTTGGAAAAGTCGCTTTCCCACAGTCCGGCCCAGCCGTCGCTGAAAAAGCCTGGGTCAGTCCGGTCATACTCAAAACCGGAAGGACTGGCCGCTTGGGATCACTGATATGGGCCCCTGCCCTGTCCACCCCTTATGTGGGGTCCCACTCCTACTCCCACAAACCTGGGTGGGAGGACATGCGGGGAGCTCTGAAAGCCCCTGCACGGGGAGCGGGGCAGGTGGTGCAGAGGGGTAGGATTCCCCGCCCCGCAACGAAGGCTAATCTCATCCCAGTTGGTTTTGAAGGACTCTGGGATGCAAATATGAGTATAGAACCAGAGTCTAAACTCATGTTCTCGCTTAAATAGTTGTATTCAACCGGATCATTAGGATGATGAGAAAATAAATAATCCTGGTCGCAAACTGGTTAAGATGAAGGTTTCTAGGAGAATTTGAGTTCCATGGTGATGTCAAAGTGGTGAAAGAAACAACCTGGTAATTAAATAATTGCTAACAGGCAAGAGATTTATCTACTGTAGAATTTAAAAATATACAGGGTGATATGAAATTGCCTCCAATGCTTTCCCAAGCCTAACCCAATGGGAAGGCAATTTCAGATATCGTGTTGTGATGGAGGATGCCCGCTAATATCTATAGATTTCTGCGGGTATCCTCAGGCATCTGCGGGTATCTTCAGATAGTTGTGGATATATTCAGGCATCGATGGACATCTGTGGGTATCTTCAGGTATCTGCTACGCGTTGACAATATTTACAACTGCACAGCACATACTGAAAGGCTGCCGGCACCGCCAGAGGGGCCCACAGATAGCCTATAGCTACACACTCCGGCCAGGCCAGGCCAAAGCAAAACCGACCTGGGTTTCTGAGGCCGGGCATTCGCAAAGCCTGCTTAAACACACGCATCAAGCGAGCGATTAAAATAATAAACACTCTCTCGACCTCCCCTGTTCCATACATCTTCCCAAATCACTTTCTCAATCCCCACTTTGCATACAGAACCCCAGGCACCCACACACCCCCGGGGCATCAACGAGTGATAATCCATGACTGTCCAGTACCAGCGATACAGATAAGTAAACTAGAACCCTCTCCACCCAGCCATCAGACACCATAACCCGAAAGAAAGAAAGAAACTACACGTTAACAACTCCTCCGGAAACAACCCCCCCCCCCCCGGAAAACCTGTAAACCCCATGGCGACAATAACAACAAAAACAACCCTCTCCCAGCTATGACAGATAGAATGCAACAAAAGGGAAAAAAAGAAAAGAAAAAAAGTGCTATGTCTTATTACAATAGATCAAGACGATCCAAAATTCCACTAACGAAACACCTCTTCTGCCCCCAGCAGACACAAAGTCCCCATTCCCAAATCCTAGACAACTCAACAGCCGCACCCACACTCAACCGACACGGTTCAGCAATGGAAACAACCTCTCCGTTCCACCAAGCACACAAACCATAATAGAAAGTACAAAATGCAAATCCACGAGATCTCACTCGAGCCTTTCATCACGCTGAATGGAATGCAAGTAGCCAAGAAATGCACCGGTACGAAAACAAATAAAGGACACCTACGGACCGTATCGTATTGGTGAAGTTGTATAGTGAAGTTGTATATTGGGGAAAAGACCCTTATGTTCGACGTAACCACGAATCCTGCAAGACTTACATGGAACACAACGCAATCCCAGGAAAGAAAGAGGCTCACGGTTGAGTAGAGTAAAGGAAGAGAGGAGAGATCTCTTCCGTAAAAAAAAAAATGTATGGGGGGAGAAAGTTCGTTTGGGATGAGGGGCTTTCGAGACGGACGGATGGAGGTTGCCGCTGATGGTTAGACTACTATATACTAATGTGCATCCGTAAGCTCTGTCTCTACAATTGTGCCCCTCTGATTCTGCAGGTTTCTTTTCTTTCCGCGTGTGTGTGTTATCTGCTACGGTATAGTATGCTGATATACGGTACTTTTTTTTCCAGTGGAAGGTCTAGTTTGTTCATTAGCCTAAGGCGAGATGTCGAGTGATACTTAGTGTGTATTGTATTATAGTACAATGGGGAAGCAGCTAGCACTAGATGAACAGTATGGTTGTTTTTGTTTGTTTTTTAGAATTTTTTTTATTGGCCACTCCAGCCCACAGGTATGGACAGCTTCTGTGCCGTGTCCAGCAAGAACGAAAATGAGGGAGTAAATGACAGGGGGATATGTGGAAACCAGGAGGGGGGAGTGTGTATATGACACAATAGAGAATAAACCCCATTAAAAAGCTAGCACGAGAGTTGAAAAGAATAAAGTTGAGGATATCATAGCATAGCCTACAGAATTTAAATAACACATGAAAAATAAAGAAAGAAAAAAACGTAGTTTAGCAACGCCAATCCGATCATCACCGCTATCCTAGCTATCCTAGCTACAAAAGAAGAAAAATAAACAGGAAACATGAAACACATATTTAAAACCTGGCTTCAAGGAAATCCATCAAGTGCATCACAACCACCTTAATCTCATCGCTATCAGATAAAATAATCACCAGAAAATAGTATTAAAAACCCAACCTAGCACAAATAGAAAGCACAAAAAACATGGAAAATAAACTCAGTCCCAATCATTGGAGTCCGCACGGCGATCCCGAGGATCAAGTTTCTGCCCGTTGGATCTCTGATTCTGGAGCTCCTCCTCTTTAACGTTCCTACAATTGGACTCCCGAAAACCCCTATCCAGCACCGGAGACCGGCTCCGTCTCCGCTCCTGGCGAAAGTTCCCCCCATCACGCCCATCTCTTGAGGCTCGAGCCCGGGTTCCAGGAGGGACGCTCCTAGCCCTCTCTTGAGACCCCGATTGGGTCGTTCTTTTGGGGGACTGCCAGGCGGTCTCTTTGGCCCCCGAGAGTAAGCCCCAGTCAGAATCCAGCTGAGGCAGGTCCTGTCGAGTTTTCCCATATCCATCTCCTGGGGCGTCCGTTGCAAATACCATACACCACTCTCCACTAACCATTTCAGCAAGAACGTATCCCATAGAACCATCCGGAAGTTCAACTCTATAGAGCTTTGCGTTTTCCCCAGGGAATACCACAGAATCGGAGTCGAGGACCTTATCCACGGAGCTTCCTCGATCAGGACTCGATCGGAGATATCTCATAGGGTGATCCGGAAGTTCGGCCGGGTAGACGTTTAGTGAGACAGA